TTCTCGTCCCCAAGGGAAGGGGCGGCCCCTCGCGTGCAGGGCGCGCCCGGCCAGGCCCCCTGCATTCTTCTCTCAATCTGGCTGGCACTCTGAGCCCCCACGCATCTCGTAGGATCGCTCCCAGTCCCAGGCAGAAGGCTCCTCCTTGAGGTCCCTGGGATGTGTCTCAGAAAACAAAGTACTGCCCTGACGGCAGCGGGGGATCAGGCAGCAGAGGAAATAGCTCAATGCTCGTGGGCCACACCACTCTTGGCCCCGACCCCCTTTGCAGCACACAGTCCACGCCTACGGCTCTTTGCTCGCCCTCTCGGTGGGCTCTTCTTGGTGCATCTCTGGAGGAGGAGGGCTCCCAGGGAGTGGGGGTGGGGGGATAACCCACCCTATTCTCTGCTCTCTCGGACTTGGGTTCCATTCTGAGCTCCTCCACGCCTTCGCTGGAACTTCAAATAGACCTCAGTTTCTTCCAGCGGTATAGAGCCCGGGCCAAGATTTCAAAGTCTGGGTTCTGATCTCCGCTTTGCCATTCACGGCCCTGCGACCATGGACAGATCAGGCGATCCCTGAGTGCCTCAATTTCTCGCCTGCAAATCGGGAATGATAGCATTTTTACTTGCATTGCGGTTTTTGTGAAGAATAAACGAATGTAAAATACTACAGTGCTGGGCACGTAATAAACACTGTATAAGTGTCTGATATTGTTAATAAAGTGGGAATTATAACATTCATCCTGCAGAGTTGCCATAATAAACGAGATAACATAGATTAATTGCCTGTGTTAAGTAAGTGGCAGATACATAATATTTATTAGTGTTACTATTACTCCCGGGGAATTGGACTTCTCTTCCTTTTTCTTTTTAAATCTTGCCCTCCCCTCGTGTTCATGGGGGGAAGAACTGGGCGGATTGGCGTCGCAGGCTCAATATAAAATGGCCCCTGAATTCATGCCCTGGTGTCATTTCCTTGAGGGTTTTGAGAGGGGCTCTTCCACGCTGCCAGGCTAGCGCTGCGCTTTTGTTTGCAAGAGGGCAACGAGTAAATCATATCCTGGGTTGAGCAAAGCAAGAAATAAACACGTTCACAGTAGGACTCTTCGGTTGAACTGTTTTATTTCTCTTTTGCTTTTGTTCTTGGTCGTTGATGGTCCGCTGCAGACTAATGCGATACTGATGTATCTTAATATTAATGATTTGGAGCTGAAGACAGCCGCTCGCCTCACGCCTTTTGCGGCCCGGGCCTCCCTCACAAGGTTGGACGCCACCAGGAGGCCCAAGCGAGGGCATCAAAACGATTCTTTATGTCACTTTCTCTCTCTCTAGCCCGGTACTCACGTCTGAGTTCCCGGGGAACCATCTTCTGGATGCGAGTGAATTTAAATATCGCTGCTTTTGCTATCATCATTTTCTGCTTGAGCAGAAAGCAGGGGTGCCCTCCCGCGCCGGGGTGCCCCTGTTTGCCGCGGTTGGGAGCATTGAACCCTTTATATGTGAAACTTG